CACACACACACACACACACACACACACACACACACACACACACACTGTAACAGCAACAGTGAGATCATGTGATGTGTGCGACTGTGTTTGTAGATCTTGGAGGAAACCTACAAGCTGGAGTTTCTGTACAGCGGCTTGGAGAGCAGACAGGTGGCCACCATACATCATGTTCGACTCCAGGCCAAAGCTCTGCAGCTCGTCCTGACTGCTCGCACCAGACAGGGGTAAACACACACACACGTGTGCGCACGCACATACACACACACACACACACATTCTGTACATACTTCCCAGCCTGTGTCTCTCCTCAGGTTGGATCTCCTCATCGGCAGCTGCGAGAAGTTTTTGCAGGATGTCGAGTCTTTTCAGAGGTATGTTTTTTCATTCTTTGTCTTTTTCAGACAGTGAGAGTTGAACTCGGCTCAGTCCATATCAGCTGGAGATTCATGTAATCTGTTGATGGTCTGTGTGTTATCGATGCAAAGGACAGCGTCGGACTGTCCTGACTCGCTGTCGGTGTTTCGTGCCTCCCTCAGGCTGTTTCTGACCGAGCTGCCACACCTCCAGGACAGTTTTGTGGATAAGCTCTTGGAGCTGATGCCGCGCCTGTCGTCCTGTAAGCCAGTGGAGCTGGTGAAAATCCTGCAAACAACCCTGAGACAGAGCGGCCTGCTGCAGCTCAGACTGCCCGAACAGGTGCGGTGAAAACACTGTGAAGCATCACAGCACGAGTTTTCATGACTGAAATCCATACAGCACTCATCTCTCCTTCAAGCTCGTCTCCCAGTGCTTCTGTTTAAGTGACTCTTTGGAAGGCTTTCTTATACCAGTTATTACACATCGCTCTTTATAAGGCGCTCTCAAGCATGCACATAACCAAGTGCTTACATACATGATAGAGTTGACTCTGTTGAAGTAGCAGATTATAACCAAGAACAACAGGGACCCGCCCACCCTGGGGCTGTGGTAGCAACTAAACTTTCAAAATAAGAGTGGCCCTTCAACTTGAGCTTAATTTGGGGTGATTTTATTCATCTTGACCAAACTCTCACTCAGAAATCTCAAACATCAAAGCACAACTCAAATTATGAATTTGTCTAATTCACATCAGCACGCTCGTGGTTTCACTCCTGACCCGGAGACCCAGCTGTTACCTCCAGTTATAATCTCTCACATTCAAAGTTTATCTTTAAGTTTAAGTGATGAAATTATTAGAGATGGAGCGATCTGATATTACGTATCGGTGTGATACACACAAAACGCGCTACTTGGCGTAACCCAGCTCGGCGCATCGGAGCAGTATGTGTCACGTGATAGAGCGGCTGTTGTCGAGACCTGTTGGCGGTCTGTTGGAGCATTTGGAGCCTCGCTACATGCTTCCTAACCGCGGCGTTTCATCTCGGCGAAAACTATCCCAGAGAAGTAAAGCAAGTGTGTCAGTTCATCCCTGAATGTTTGCAGAGTATTTCCACGTTAAGCTTAACAACTGATATATTGAGCCACAGCTGGACTGGCCATCGGAGCTCCATACTGAGGTGAAAAGGAAGCGATTTGTCCCGTAATTCAGCTAGAATTAAAATATAGACACGAAGCTGGAGTTATTGTGTCTTTGCTGCGCAGTTGCATCTACTTCTCTCATTCTCTCCCCCCTTCCTCTCCTGTTATTACTTCAAACATGAAACTGATCAATGATCAGCTGATCGGCTTTTGTGCCGCAAGTCCGTCTTTCTTGTTTGTTTATCGCCCACTTTGCACTAGAAAGAGGAGACCAGTGGATAAACAACAGCAGCACGTTTAAGCTTGATCAGCTGTTGTTAGAAATTAATATTAAATAAATTCTATCAGCTGATGTTTGCTGGAGCCACAGCTGTAAAGCTGCTGGTCATGATGTCGGTTTGGATATGTGGTGAGAGGGAAACATGAGGATGAAACCAGGAGATGTCCTTACTGAATCATCAGAGCTGAACAGGTGAAACAGGTTTACCTTTTAGGTGACATGGATGAGTTGAAGTTATGAACTGTTTCTGAGAGACAACTAACACCAGGATCCTTTTCTATGTAGCTGACAGCTGGTAACTGTGCAGGGGCGGGTCTAGCAAAGTTTTGTCAGGGGGGCAGGTAGGGCATTAACAGGGAGAGGGGGGCACAAAGAAATACTTTTCTTTGTTATGTCATTTATAAACTTTGAATAAATAATTATCTGAATCTTACAACAAACGTGGTCATCTGATTAAATGTATAGAAATCCATTATTGTAAATAGTAACTAATAAGTCTAATATACACCCTAGTAAGCCATAGTACCATCTGTGCAGTCTGCAGTTCTGTTGAAGAAAGATGATGAATCTATTTAATTATTGTAGAAAAATAATCGATTTCTGTGCATTTGTTTTACACTTGCATTAAATTAAAGTTGATTACATCGATTAAGGGCGGGGGGTGGTTCCCTAATATTTTTGCTGGGAGTTGGCAACCCTATTAGTGAGGTAGGTAAGTACTCTTTAAAATACCAGAATGGGGGATGGTGCAGGTTTAAGTTTATTAGATTGATCAGTGTTGCTGAACAGTATTTTTTGCATACAGGTATAACAGAGTAGCTTCGTTTTCTTGTTTTTTAAAACTTGAGTATGAACTTATACAAAATGCAGCAAGATATTTATAAAAAACTGTGTTATTGATTGCAAAATACACTATATCGGATTCATATCGGTATCGGCAGATATCCAAATTTATGATATCGGAATCGGTATCGGACATTAAAAAGTGGTATGGTGCCATCTCTATAAATCATAAATGTGTAACAGGTCAGACTGAGACATGGAGCATCTAAAAACAGCAGCAGACTCCAGATGGCACGATAAGATTACAGAGGTGAACTTTCAGAATAAAGGTCGATCACAGCTGGAGCCACTCTATATTTGAAACTAGTTCTTGAAATCTCATTTGCATGAATGCATTGTTTTAATTTAAATGTTCTTTTCCACCTGATATTTCCATTTATGAATAAAAGATTTCTGCATTTTTATGGGCGGAGTTCCTGAACTTTGAGCCTCAGAGACTGCAGCGGTGGTGTGGTTTGAGTTTTGTTTAATTTATTGCTGGTCATCAGATCCATCGGGCGACGGCGACCATCATTGAACCAACGGGGGAGTCTGACAACCCACTGAGGTTCACGTCTGGCCTGGTGGTGGCGTTAGACATTGATGCAACGCTGGAGCACGTCCAGGACCCCCAGAACACGGTGAAAGTTCAGGTCAGTTTGATGTGACGCCAGAAAGAAATCACTTCATCTACTTGAATCCCCCCCAAAACTGCTGTGAAGTGCCAAACCAACAGGTGGTGATCTGACTATAGAAGTGTTGGCCTGCAAACAGCGAACAGTCTGTCAGCAATAAGATCATTTAACAGTGACGGGGGTCATTCAGATGAGTTTTTCTGATTGTTGATTTTGAGGCATTTGTCCTTGTTATTCAAATTATTTTTAATATTTTTTTTTCTCGACCTCGTTGTCGATCTCTGTCTCGACATGTAAGTGTTTGTGATTAGTGTTTAAAGACTATAGATTGTGTGGGTCAGCTGTAAACATGTTGGATTAATAAATTAACCCGAATCTGAAAGAGATCAAGGCGCACACCTTTGACACTGCAAGACAAAAATCTTTCTCTAAAGTGTCAGTCTGTCCTAAAACACTGTATGTGTGGATAAAAGACCAAAACACACAAAGTTTTGAGCGTGTAGGTTTTAAGCTTTAAGGTATTTAACAAAAATATTGCATTACCTGTTTAAAACAATGGCCACAGTCTTCCATTCATCCACAAATTAATTGCTCTCACACTGCGGGTATATTCTAGTGCTTCCAGCAGTTGTGGCTAGACATGCTTTTGTTTCCCCACTGATGTAAACGAGGCCTCACCTTTATTGGCACAAAGTTTATGAAAGTGTTTTAACATCTGTTAACCAGCTCAGCGTGGTTTGAAGTGCAGAGCCACTGACATCAGGCTCGGCTTACTTACAAACCTGCCAGCGAGTGCAGCTTAAATCAGGCTGTGCCGGTTATCATCCAGCCTTATAAGCACTGATTGGTTTGTATTTTACACCCAACATGAATGTTTACTACTCGCTGCCTCTGCAGGTTCTGTATCCAGACGGCCAGAGTCACGTGATCCATCCTAAACCTGGAGACTTCAGAAAGCCCGGACCCCACAGACACAGACTCATCACGCAGGTTTACCTGTCACACACAGCGTGGACAGGTCAGTTAATAACATGTTTTTTTGTCCTTTGAATATAAAGTTATAAAGCATCCAAACTAGTAAAAACTCTCGCTCCATCGTCACTTTGTTTCCTCCCCTCGTGTCTCTGCCTCAGAGCCGTCTCAGATCGAGGTGCGTCTCCTGCTGGCCTACAGCTCCTCCTCAACCTCCCTGACCTCCCCTTCCAAGCTGGGGTGGAGCGAGAGCTTGGAGAGCCTCCCGCCAGCAGAGGCCGCCGTCGAGGGAACGATTCCGTTTAGCAAAGCCGTTAAAGTCTTCATCATGCCCAAGCCCGCACGACGCTAACAAAGCGTTTCAGCTTTAACGTGCAGGACTTTTCTTCTTCTGTTCATCTCTAATTATAACTGTACAGGAAACCACTCTCATTAACGGTCAAGCTGTAGGAAGCACAAGACGGGGTTTTATGGAAAAAGCTTTTTGTATTCAATTATAAAGAAGAAGTCAGGTGGTCAAGTTTCATTCTCCACTTTTATTTTGTCACATGATGAATCAAACTGAACTCCTCCCTGTTTAGACAGCAGGTAACATCCATACATTTCAGCTTTTATAACATGTGACTGCATCTAAAGTCAACTCTAGAAGAGCTTTCGAAGATGCTCTACATTCTTTTCTGCCACCACCTTTAAAATAACTTTTCTCAGAGAGAAGGTGACTCGATTTGTGAATTCTCTTGTTTAAGATGTTTATTTACTTAAAGATTTGACTCTGTGTTAACCACAGTTTGGATGTTCTCTCTGTGCCGGTCTCTCCACCTGATTTTAAAATGGCCACAGGTGTGAATGGACCTAGTTTCTGTGCTGTGATTGGCTCCTGCTGAGCCTGTGGACAGAGACTAAGCCATGAAACAGCTGCAGGCAAAGATCAACAATCGTTCCACACGTTTACCTACAGAAACTCTGTTTCAACTGTTATCGGTGGCTCTTGTTGTTTGAAGGCTTCTTTTGTGCTGAATTCATCAGCAGATGAGTTTGGGCTTTTAAGGCAGGCAGGAAGGAAAGAGTGCTCTCTAATGTGCAAAGCATAGAAAACTAATGAGCCCTGTAGCACAACAGAAAGCAGGAGAGTCTATCAGTCTATGCCCATTATTGTGTTTTCATAATCAGGAAGTCACAAATGCAAGTGAGGCTAAAATTTAGTCGGCAGCTTGTTTGCATCTTCACAGTGAACTCAAAGCTTCAGCACCACAGTGGGATATTCTCTCTACAGTGAAAGAGCTTGTAGAGTCCTCCTCAGGTGGCCATGTCAGCAAGGTAAGGGTGACATCAGCAGGTGGAGTGGAAAACCCCGCCCACCTTTGCACCCTGGCCGGCCAGTTTGTTGTATTCAGCGACAGCCTTCTCCGTCTGGAAGACTTTTACATCAACGCCTTTCTGCTTCACAAAGTCCAGGGTGGAGGAGGGAACCTGTTAGAGGAGACGATGGTGTGAATACAGTCTGACAAGCACAGCTCCTTAATCGATCCATCAGCGCTCCAACCACATCCACACGCAGGAAATCGCCTTTCAGCCTCCAAAGAACGACCGTATTAGCCAGATTATTTGAATGGATGAACCACCAAGTCTGCAGTCTCATTCTTTTGTGATACTTTATCTGATAGGAGCAGCTTGTGCAACATGACTCGGTCATACAGCAGCTGAGCGTGGGATCTGTTTTATTACATCAAAGTAACAGAAAGCAAAAACTCTTTAAAACAAACAGAACAAAGGTGCTAAGACTCCAACCAAACTATAGTTTATATTTTGGCTTTATTATGTTTAAAGGAATAAATTGGTCTGTTTTACCTGCAGAGCCTCGCTCATGCCTCTGCCAATTACCAGCAGGTCGATTCCCTTCTTCAGCACCTCATCTAGGTCAGCAGGTTGCACTCCAGGGTAATGCTGAGGAGCATAAAGCTCAACATCACAAATTTGCCTCAGAGCTCATTTACAGCAGTCCGTCCTCATTTGGATTCTGGTTTCACTTACGTCAGTCCCAGTCTCTCTCCAGTCCCAGGCTCGGCTCCCTCCAGGCCAGACCTTACAGTCCTTGTAGGTGGAGGAGCATCCCTTCACCTTCATGTGGCCCCAGGAGAGCGAGGCGATCTCTGGAGAGGACATGTTTCTTTGAGGCTACCTGCTGTAAGACAAAATAAGCAGTTAGCACAGCTTCTGAAATAGTGTGACAAGATTTCTACAAGCCATCGAAATACTCTGAAAGGTCTCATTAATGCAAGTTTGCCACAACCAGCAGGAGTGATTTATGTGCCCTTGTAAAATGTTCCCCTGCAGGTCAATAACAAAACTACAACTGACTACAAGAACAAGAGGGCCTACGTGAAACGTGCTGCTGATAATTCAGTTACTACTTCAGGTCCAAAGTTCTTTTACTTGCATTCAATCAAGTTTGACTCATTAGGAGGTTTATACTGAACCGGTGTATAACAACACCTAACAGCAATAACTTGTGTAAATACAAGAATTCGATCAATCAGATCAAATTATTACATGTAAGCTGCCCTGTACAAACTGTGTACTTAGCACAGGCAAATTAGATGCTTACTTTAGCACACACAGATTGCACAGGGTTTAACTAACACACACACACTCGGTATCGTCAGCAACTAAAATCCTTGTCCTGCCATTTCTGTAAGTCGTGAGCTGACTGGGTCTATTTTTATACTTCTCACTTTTAACTCCAAACCAATATAAACCTGCTGTCAAACTCACTTACTGCATCTATTCAAACCGTACCAGACAAAATATTTACACAAACTAGCTGAAATCCTTTTAAAACAGTTTGTTAGGCTGTAACAGGAAAACATGAAGCTAAAGTCTGTGCTGCTGCTTACCCGTCTCGATGTCAACTCACTGAACACACCCCTCCAGTCGTTCTTCCTCCCGTAATTAAAGGGACACGGACTAACCTGCGAGCTGTAACAGTCAGTCTATGATTGGTTGTTAATTATCAAGGTGCTGGAGCTGAAACATCAGCCTTAGTAATAAAGTTTTCCGCACAGCTCACACAACCCTGAGTTTACCTGTGGACCTTAGACTTGTGTGTTTCGTAGGTTTCAGTTCAGTTTTAGTCTCTTTAATAAAGTGGAATATTAGCTGAAACATTTTAAATACACAAACCGTCAACAATATGTCACCTTATGTGGAACTGTCCTCCTGTGTGACCTGTCTGCACCCTTTTGAAAACTAGTTTCTTAATTCACAAAGTTACAGAAGTATTGTGAACGTTAACATGAAAAATGTAGAAAAAAAAAAAAGAAAAGCAGCAACTGTGACTTTAATCTTATATACCCAAAAAATTATGATACCAGAAACTATTATTCATGAATTAAACTAGTGGACTAAGCATGGACTCTTTAAGGGGACTGAAATGAAAACTACGAATACTACACTGATTTACTGTGCTGTGCATAAAAACACCCTACCATACGCAAAATCCAGTGAACTCACATTTAGGAGATGTTTACGGTACGGTGCAGCATACTAACAGATCCACTCGAACACTGCTAATGAACGTAGCTAGTAAAGCTTGCATTGTTTTTCCACATGTTTAGGGGGGTGCACCGTTCCTGGAGATACTGCAATACCAGGTCGATGCGTGGAGTGGACGGAGCAAGCCCCTATTCCATCTCCCTGTTCCAAAAATCAATTTAATATATGGTCCCCGGGTAGGGGACGTATCAGATATTAAACTGATAAGAACAGATACTACACTTGATCTTAGCCAAAAGGCCGAGAAGCGATACCGGGAATACGTCGGAGCAGACGGAGTCACTCCCCGCACCCTCTCCCTGACTCGCGGTCCGAAATCCGAAGTTAAAATTCAACAGTAACGTTTACCGTACAGTTTATGAAATAAATACAAAAACATTAAACCGAAGTAGAAGAACGAGTCGAAGAATCGCTACAAACAAAGTTATTTAAGAAACAACTACGTCTTCCTGGTGGCTTCCTGGTTACGTAGTCTGCAATTGTCCAATCACAAACCGAAGCAGCAACAGAGCAAAAAAGGCTACGAAACTTAACATTAAATTCCAAATTTACTGATGTTATCCCTGAAACCTGTCAAATAACTATTACCGAGTCCTCCGAAGGTGAAATTCACGTGGGTAGTCCGTGTTTCTGTTACGGGATGCGAGGAGCCAGTGCTGCCGCCATTTTGGTCCAGAGAAGCCGCGCCTCCTCAACTCGATTCATTTCATAGAAAACAAAATATCTTAGTAAAATAAAGGAGCTTGTGTAGACAAATATATTATGCAACATTTAAGTTGTAGTTCATTTAAATTATTAAAATTTAAAGAAAACACGTGACACGTTTAAATTTGAAAAGTCAGCAAAGAAATTAAACATTTGTAGCGCGATTTTCCTTCGCCTGAGATAAGCAGAGTACAGCAGCAATAGTTGCATCCGGTAATGATTGAACAGAGGGAACACTGATAATATAATCAAGTTTAATACGTTTTGGGTACGATAAATCTTCACCTGTGAACTTCTACTGCATCTACAGGCCAAAGATTTACTCTTTAAACGCGTAGCGGTGTCTGTGGGAGAACAATCAGGTCACAAACCTGCAAATATAACCGCGGCCAGTCTGCTCTGAAGAACAAATCAAGTCCCAGCAACCTCTGCTAGACACAAACCATCAACAATAGCAAGGACAGACAACTGCTGGTAGCAGAACTCGTTTCATGTTATGTACGTTTAGCTGTACAAAACACAAACACGCACAAGACTCATTTGCACTGAAATATTTCAAAATAAATCAACTAAACAAACAAACGAAGACCTAAAACCCCGTTTCAATTACATTCATTTTCATTTATATTGCACCAAATCACAACAACAATTGCACTTTATATTGTAAGGTACTCAATAATACAGAGAAAAGCCTGACAAGAATTTGGCTACAGTAGGAAGGAAAAACTCCCTTTTAACGGGAAGAAACCTCAGCCAGAACCAGAGACTTGTTGAGGGTGTGGGGAGGGCTTTGAACTGGTTTCCAGGAATCTTGAGCAAACATTAACAGAAAACCCATTAAACCAAATATGAAAAAAAAAGACTGACCTTAAAAGGGACTTGAAATGCTACACATATACAGGTTAATTTACACCACTCAGCCCTGCCCTCAGAAAGCGAGACAGATGGAACACTGTCTGAAGCTGGATTTAAGAAATAAGCGCTTAAAGTTCAAGTTTTAAAAACATGTTTAGCGGTTTAGCTAGCTGCACTCAAACAGGAAAATCCAGCTGTTAACGGTAATGCTAGCAGAGGCCGTGTTCTAAACCTCTCAATTCTTCAGAAGAGCTGCGTCAGACAAAACAAACTGTCAGTGGGTTTCCTCCCTTGGATGAAGACGTTGCTAGTAATGTAACTATTGGCCGGTCATCTGGAAATACAACAAATCCTCCCGCATGTAATATTTCCATCTCCACAGGAAATGACAAATACAAAATAATGAGGAGGTGCTAGAGGGATCAATATGTCTCACTCTTTTGTCACAGGCGTTCCTCAGCACGAAGCACCAACTGTTTATGTTACTCATTGATAAAGAAGAAGCTGGTAAAAGAAAACAAAAAAAACCCCAAAAACCCCACAATCCTTCAGATACATGGCAGATTTTAAAATCATGACCATGAATGTCAGGGGATTACAAAACCCAACAAAGACAGCAGTAGTTTCTTCTTACCTGGCAACATTTGTTTTTGACATATGTTTGTTACAAGAAGGACATTTAAAAGATGATAG